TCAATAAAGCACCATATTACTAATTGGTGTTAAACACCCATTAATACATTTGAATAGCGTATAAAAATTATATCTATAAATTTCAACTGATATATTTCATTTTTATAAAAATTTGCATTTTTGAATTCTGCGAATACAAAAAATGAGCTTTTGTTGAATGAGAAATATCTGGAAAATGTCGTGACTGATGCAAGACCTCATAATTTAATTCAGTCAATTTTGGAATAGTATTCAAAGGTATTCCTTTGATACAGTATTGTTTAGTTACGCAGAATAGTTTAACAATCGCGATAGAAATTTTCCTAAAAAAGTCGTAAAATTGTTAAAATTTATATATATTGATATAGAATTCAATTAGTGCAAACAATCAAATTTAATGAAATTTGAAGAGTGCTTATTACCGTAAGTAACAATTACATTTTACTAGATTTTATCATTTAAAAGATCAATTGACTTGCCCCTCTAAAAGAGAAAACTGGTTTGTTTCATTTCCTATACAACGTATGGTCGATGTCGTCTCCGGTACACCGACAACGGAAATAAAATCGCAACCTGACCTCTTTTAGTCTATTTCTTTTCTCCGTTTGCTATCCGACAGTTCTCGTAGCTCCGATTTTATCGTAATAATCCACTTTCAAGCTATCGGTTTAAGAGATTCTATAAAATGGATCGCGAAAGTATTATCTCCTTAAAAGAGGAAATGTTGGACAAGCCGATGCTTTATCGTATCAATTCCGACCCTGCACCAGAGGGTATCGAACTTCTTGTGGTCGTTGGTACAATGGGACCTCCGGTATCCGAAATAATTGGAAACCCCAGTGTGCACACTTCGAATTTTTATTCGAATAACATATCATCATCAGATACACGCCTTAAAATCATGTACAACCTATTTAGTCATTTATTCTTACTTTCAATAGTAGCGGAATAATTTAGGTACTCGAGTTAAAATGAACTTCCTGTATATATACTTTTGTATTTTAAATATCAAAGCAATTCTGGTTCAACTGTCTATTAAGTCTACCTAAGCCCGTAAGTCTGGACAGGCTTTCACGTTCGAAGAACGCTGTCCTTGAACGTCTCGCTCGATTTGGATTATTTTCCGAGGCGGACAAGATCAAGCATTCGCGAAATTACAGTCGTCGCTCTTGTCGCATTCCATCGACGCGCGGACAAGTCTCGCGCACCGCGAGAAAAACCGCGATAATTAAAGGCTGGCCTACGGTTAATTAACAAGCGCGACGACCAGCGCGGTGACACCGGTCCGCCTACTTTGCGATACCATGTACCGCACGAAAGAGCAAACGGATAAAAAGCGGCGGCTAAGTCGATGAAAATATATGTAAGCTTGCACCGGTAATTGCAGACGGTTGAAGTGACGTTTCCGCGTAAATGGGCAAAAGACACGATGAAAGACGTCGGCGCGGTTGTAACGGGGATGAACGAAATTGAACATGCAAATAAATAAAGTGGCAAAAAGGCCCTGAAAATACCCCCCAACGCGTTTCTCTGCCGGTTCTCGTATACGTCACCGGGGAGTTTCTAATCCGACTGGATGTCGTTGATCCTCCCCAATAAATGACGAGCAACGCCCAGGAGACACGGTCCTACCCCAACCGGAGCTTATGACCTTTCTATATGCGAACACGCAGCCAGCTCCATAAGACGAGGTGAATCACGTGCGTGCATGTGTGTGTTCATCCCTCTCGCACACACGCACGATAGACCAGGACAAACGTTCTATACATGCGTACACAGGGAACGTGTGTGGTACCGAGTGGATTGCAAATTCGATCATGTCTACTCCTCGATTCTGTGACTCAGAGCCACGGCAAATCTGATTAGGACCGGTTTACATAGGGCTCAGACGTGCTAGGATTCCTTCTTCGCATTGGGGGGGGGGGGGGGGGGGGGTTGAGCGCGAACAAAACTAACGCGACGAAACGAGATTATCTTTGATTTTCGAACTGCATCCGAATAGACACAGAGCTAATTTACGGACGGAATTAGGTGACGGGACCAAGGGACAAGCATGTAATGGGGAAGATGGACTGCGTTCGGGGGTTGTAAGCGGAAGATAACGAGGGGAGCCTACGAAGTGTATCCCGAGGTTTATGATCAACATTTCTTCGGATGTAGGGGAGATCGCCTGGAACAATCTCGGAAAGTAGTAAGAATGATCTCTCCCTTATCTTGGAGAAATTAATTACTAAAAATGTGATAATGTTTTATGTATGGATGTCACCTTGCAACTGGATGTGTTGCCAGAATAATAAAAGAGCGTAGGTGGTAGACCGTCAGGCTAGGAATCCTCTTTTTCGGTTCCGTTCGGGTTCGAATCACGAAATAGCAATTTTTATTTTTTAAGTTTTTATTTTTTACCACAGAAACAGGGCCAGAGTATAAAGCAATTCGTTCGACAATTTTAGGTTCCTTTCGCGGCCCCACCCTCGATTTAAAAAGCTTCTCGAGATCCCCGAGATGCGGCCTGAAACCTAACCAAACTTTCAGTTTCAACGATCAGCTGATGGCACGTCTCCATGTAACGGCACTTTCTACACGGCTTCGATATTAAACGTCCTTATCGAAAGGTAGAAGGTGAGATCACGAGAGGGAAAGGAGCGATCTCGTTAAAATCACCGTGTCGGGTGGTAGGCACGCGCGGCGTGACGACAATTAGTGATTTTCCCGGTTGCTCGACCCCATTGTTTCAAGGGAACCAGAGTCTTTTACAGCCCACGGAGATACCGATCGAATGAGGACAAGGAACGCCGGCTGCAGGAGGCTCGATATCCTGGCCAGAAGTAACCGCTGAAATGTGGGTCACAGTCCTTATCGTCGGCGAGCGGCGTGCCAACCCTCGAAATAACGGAGTGCCACACCCCTTTCGTCGGTGTCCACCCTGCCCCCGAGGCTGACTCTCCCAGGGGACGGCTCGTCATCGATAAACCGTGATCGAGCACTGACCGCAAATCATTTCGGCCCCATCTCATTCACTGATCACGCCTGATGGTGTTGCCATGGCGATACAGGAAAGCAAATGTTCCTCGAAAACAGACTAAACCCGGGTGAAACGCGGTAGCAAAAAAAAAAATTTCTGAAACTCGTATTTATGGACGATGATAACGTAAACGGATTGTCCCGTGTTGCTGCTCCTTTTGTTTGGGAAATATTTTCGAAGGTGACAAATGTCGTGTGTGTAACGATGATGCTTGTTTCGGAAGGGATGACGTCGGATTCTACAGGTAATTCAGGCAGGACATACACTCAGGTTCGGATTAAGATTTTTTGTTGGCCGGGACTATCCAATTTTCGGGGGTCTACTTAGTTGAATAGTGGGGGGATGCAGCACAACAAAATACATAAATCTTCAGAAATTGAAATTTATTTTAAATATAATTAAGTAGCATTTAACCAAAAGGAAATGGAAGGTTCAGAACCACGTCCATTCACGAAGGTTCAAATCCATCCCTCTAGCTGCCACGGCTCGTAAGAGAAGGTACAATAAAAAGTGTAGCACGCTTATGTGTAACGCAAGGTTTGAAGAGCCTCTATTATTGTAAAGCAGCGAACGATGAGCCCAGAGATTGCGCTCCAGGGGGATGCACGCGGCTCCCACGTCCCCTCTTCTCCTCTTCACCCACTCTGTTCCTCGATCCTCTTTCCCCACGATGATGCGCCACTCCACCCTCTCTCTTTGCGCTCAAGTTTTGTCGACGAAATTGCATTTTCCCTTGCAGCTTCGCGGTTCACCGGTAGGAACGCGCGAGAGTGTGCGTTGGCGCGCTCACACAAAGGTACAGGGTGTTCCAGATTCAAAAGAATTTCTTTATTCTGTATACGAAAAAGTAATTCGACGCATTTAACCCTTGCGTTGCGACGAAGTTGACCGCCAGTAGGATCAATGACCCTATTTCTAATCACGTCCTGATTTCTGCTCAATACGTATATTTTTTATTTAATGTAAACAGTTAAATAATAAGTCAGTTATACAAAAAATTATTTAAATTAGTTCAATATTTCCGTGAAAAATGTTACAGCCCGGTGTTCAATAGGGGGCAGCATTTTAATAGAAATAAATTTAATAAGTGTGTCCGTCGTAAGGAACTAATAAAGAATATTTAAAAATTGGTACATTACCCACATTAAATTGCGAAACACAATCTAGAACAACCAACGAGATCGAACTGCTTTTATAATTGTACACCATGAGTGTGTAATACAACTCGGAGAATCGAACTACTTTTATAATTGTACACTACGGACCGTTTCAATTAGCGTTTCATTCTGCCCCCATTCGTTTAAAAGGATTTCACGGTTCGCGCGTTTATAGGCGGCACAGATTAATGTCGACAATTTTACGAGCCCGCCATTGTGGATCGTCGCTTCGTGCAAATTCGGGTCTGCGAATAAATTCCAGTATCCGCATGAGAAACCTTACTACAAACCTTTAACGTTCCGGAACAGCATTTTGTTGTGTGTATTATATAAAGAGAAATTATTTTAATATGAAGAGGAAAAGAGAAAAATTCATCGTTCGAGTAGTCAGACTTAACTGTAAGTTAATTGGAAATATTTGTATGGTAGCTTATTTGAATAATAAAAAAATGTAATATATGTTGGTACAATATAGCAGAATATTCCTGAAATTACCTCCTAGATCTCGAATCAAATAAATGTGAACATTCTTTACAAACATTCCGGAAAGGATATAAAATAAAATTAAAATTACCTCTTAGATATTGAATCGATTTCACGTACAAGAACTTTATGTACGGTAATATAAAATAAAATATTCAAGAGTGAACATTCTCTCGAAAATATTTGCAGAAAGGTTAGAAATCAAATTGAAATTACCAGTTGGATCTCGAGTCGAGTGCACACGCTTTCCCGGCTTGAAGTGGCAGCGCTGATTACTTAAACAGAGACTTCTCGTCACTTTGCTTATCCCGATGATCGAGCGAGTGGCAATTAATCAACCTCTGATCTTTTCTGTGCAGGTGGTGACTCCACAGAAGTGCGGTGACGTGTATCTTTACGATCTTCCAGCGAGTCGGGGAAGTCCCGCGCCTCCTTCGAGACACGATTCACCCTTGAATTCGAACAACGACCAATTACACAACACAGGTACGTAACAGCCCTTTCGTGCGCGCAGATATCGGCAAATTCATTATTTAGATAAAGAGTTTCGAGTAACGGTTAAAAAATAAAAAAAGCGCCTCGCCATTTTTAGTCGATCAAACGTGGAAATTCGAACATTTATAATAAAATGTTACTTCTTGAATAAGTAGAATGCTTGCCAAAAGCTTGGCAAACAATGATTTAATCTTATTAAGTGTTTAACGCTTTGGACTGACAACACGACGACGCAAAATGGTCAGAGATAGTAAATACGCGCCTAAAATTCATACCTTTGTTATTTATATGGAATATCTCAGAAGGTTTTAAAACAGGATAGGGTGTAATTCTATGAGAAAAATTAAGTCGAAAAAAAAAGAATAAAATTTGTTCGGATAATGCTTCGTTTTGGAGACAATCGAACTTGAAAATTTGTTGAATACACGGCCAGTAAAATAGGACTTCGCTGAAGTGTCTGTTCATTGCAGGCCATTTCTACTTATTGGCAGCACGGACACACGTGTTTCAGATGAATACTCAAACTCAGTTTTCTCGAAAACTAAACCTCAAACGAAAAGAATTTATTCTTTCTTTTCGACGTATTTTTTTCTTATTTCTTTTTTCTATATGTATAGTAAGTTGCTAACTAATTGTAAGTTCTGCGGACCCTGATAAGTGGTGCCAGGATATACGTTTTCCTATTTATTTTCGTATTTTTTTCGTATTTCACTTGAAATGTTTGTACACTTGTAATGATTCTTCCTTAAAATTCCTGGTTTTTCAAGTGTATGCCTTATACACTTATAACTTATACTTTATAAGTGTATTAGCCCGCGAGCCATTAAAATCCGATAATATGTATCGTCAAATTATTTACAAAGTATCGCGACGATCGAGATACAATTGTTCTCAGTACATGAGCGTAATTTTTAAGTGGCTGGATTCAAAGCAAACCGGGTCAGTCGGTCGACAGGCTAGCTAAGACAAGATCAGCAATCTCTCACGAGCAATAGAGAGATTGGTCGATGCTCCGCCGATAGCTTTGCTAGATTTCCTATGCTAATTCTGTATATCGTGGAATATCCCGTTCCCGATCCATGAAACCTATATTTCTATTTTATTTTCCAAAGTGCACAGCGCTTTATTTATTACGCAAAAAATTCTTGTCGTGTCAGACATATGTTAACCATCTACAATCGGCAAGAATCATGTAGTAGGTAAGTATTGTTCACATTGGTCCAATGGTTTTTATTGAAAAGAGAATTTCATTTTCAATTAAGATAGTCTAATTTTTATGATATACAAACATTCATGGTATTATAATTATATAAATAATGAATGTTTTAATAACATTAGACTAACTATCATACAACCGATTAGTGATAAACATTCTGTGAAATGAAGAATGAAATTACTAAATATTACTTTGACTCTGACTGCAGAAATGAGAAATGTCAAAAGGTTCATCCTCTCGCTTTGATCATCCATAACGAATAAACGCAGCCTCCGCAATAGCGGTTCCTTCAGGTGACACCAGCAATTTCCCTTCACGTTCAGCCGGAGGTGCTTGTCGGTCGTTTTAGAAATAAAATTAATTTCATATGTCTACAGTGTAACGGTTACTTCGCCTTCCGTCTGGCTTTCTCGATGATATCTCGCACCGGAGTCTTTGAACGCAAAGTCAACAATTTCCTAGCAATTTCGAAAGGACTTAGATCACAATTTCCCTTTATACTTAGAGAATGTCGATGTTACTTTATGGAAATCATAGACAAAGTATAAGAAATTAAAACAGTGGCTTTTTACATCTAGATTTCACGAAACAAGTAAGGACAAGCGAGGTAGCTCGGTAGCTCCCCCTCCGTTTTCAAGTCTAGCTTGAATGTGACACACCTATGTACAAGTGTTTCACTTACACCAATGTACCACTGCAGAGATGGGCAAACGAATTATCTAGATAAAAAGTTTTGAATAACGAATAAAAGATAAGAAAAATATTTCGTCATTTTTAATTGTTTAAACGTGGAAATTTCAATGTGTACAATAAAATAATACTTCTTTATGAATGGATCGACATTTGTCGAACAATTATTTAATCGTCACTCATTAATACTCATTAATACTCAACGTAAAACATTTCAGTCCTAATTACTCGCACACAAGGTTACCTCGATTTGCTATTGCTGACATTTTCAGTGGACAACGGCGGCGATACGAGCGAATGCTACGACGTTCCACCACGAGCGGTTCCTGTGATTCCTTCGCCAGCGAGCAGCCCGAGTCCTGCACCCTCGTGTTACGATATCCCAAGGCAACCACCCTCCTGTACGCCGAACTCAAATTGCTCCGGTGGCTCCGGCGTGACGCCTCTCGATTGCTACGACGTGCCCAGGCAATTGCAGCCCTTGACACCGAGCAGCTCTGCGTCCAGCCTTACAAACGACGGATCTCTCAGCGGATCGAACAGGTACGTGTAACACCTTCGAACTTCTCGCTACCAGCCCGCTGCCCGGGAGTCACCGGGGGGTTTTTAGTGTAGTGAAATCCCGCATTGGCCGTATCCGCCCCCAGCGAAGGCGGTGCACCTTTTCAAGGTTTTCCCCCCGTAAATTAAAGAAAAAAGTATGGCTATCTGTGGAACTTAACAATAAGTTTAATAATAATAGATTTAATTTACTATTGTTAGTGTTAAATTGCAAACTGTTTACTTGTTTGTCGGTTGTTTAGAATGCACCAATACAATTTTACAAATTTCTTTCTTAGAGTTCTTTAGGGAATTTTCTACGATTACAACGACAATGGCTAACGATGTAATCCAAGTGTATTTAAAGCATCAACGTCGAGTACGATGAACCGTGTATATTTGCGAAAGTAACGAGGCATACAGCTGCTAGGAAGAGATTTATTTCGAGAACCTCGAGCTTGAATACCGGACCAGTGCCAACGGCGGTCATTCCTACCACGGATTCAGAGAAATTAGTTCCGTTTACAGTTTGGAGACCGAAAGGGTAGCGACCATGATGGCTTCATCCGTAACATTAAGTCTGGATGTAAATGATACCTGTATCTGAAAAGTTACATATTCTATATTCTTTTGCTACATTCATCGAAATGTATGGAGGAAATATTCGATCATTTTTCAATAATTGTACTTTCTCGTAAAACTTGTTAATCGTTCTTTATACATACATGATTCATCCCAAAAATTTCCGAAGACTAACATTAAAAACTTTTCATTTAAGTACTGGAAAATTATTCGGTTTTAATGGTAACGCAAGATATTTTTCAGTACTTAATTATATGGGATCCTTGAAAACTCGAAGTTTCCAGTTTGAAACTTCTCTTCTGGAATTGCCGCCGTTATTTCGCTCCCTTTTCGTTGCCCCTAATTAATGGTACTTGATGAAAGTACGCTTTAATGGTCAAACGAATGTGAAACTTTGAAGTTGAATATAATTACACTTTAGGTTCCTAAACCCGTGAAATTTTTGCGAATGAAATACACGAAAAATTCTTTGCCATTACCAAAAATCCACGAACCCCATGAAAATGAAGTACCCACAAATTTCAGTTGTATTATGTTATTTTCCTTGACAATGAAATTACTCGTTTGTCATATCTGCGACAACTTTCAACAGCCTAAGCTAGTGCTTTCCAACTTGGCTCTTCACAGCCAAGAGCCGCCACCCACCATCGTCTGCAGTTACCGTGGCGTAACAACGACAGGAGTCTGAGCTTCTTTTGTCCATGAAGACACACGGTGCGAACGAAAGATTGGAAAGGGAAGCTGGCGCGTGAAGTGCCTCTCCCGAGAGCTAAGTTGGAGAGCAGTGCCCTAAGCGGCAATTAAATAGCGACTATTTAATAACATTTGTCCACGAAAAGGGTCTGATTGATGATTAACTCTACATTTCGCAATTTTTCCAGTTTTAATACCGAAGCACGCGATGGCTATTCAGCTTTTTATTTAGCTAATTTTTACGAATTTCATTAATCTCCCTTTCATACCAAACTGCACCGATCCCTCGTTGCCGCAATCGTTTTGGGTCCAACGGCGTAAGGACTTCTTCCTTCGGATAAGCCTGCAATAGAGTCTAACAACGAACGGACGTTCATTTTTCAGATCCAGCCTAGCTGCTCCTGATTACGATGTACCTCGCTCACGTCTTCCACCTTCCTCGTTACCTTCCCGGCACAACACGCCCGTGCCTAAGACACCGACACCTCCACCTCCGCCGCAAACACAGCAGATCTACGATGTTCCAGTCAGCAAGGAACTTCCCCTGGAGCTGGACTCCGCGTTGGAAGGCTTGCAGAGGTTGCAGAGCGAGGCATCGACAGCGATAGCCAGGTTACTCGGCTTCGTCAGCCCCAAATGGAGAACGCCCCAGCAATTAGACGCGACCTTGATGGACCTCAAACTGGCTGCCCATAGGCTTAGAACGTCTTTACATGACCTGGCTGAATTTGCTGAAGGTAATTACCCCTGTTAGGGAAGAGTTACCTATTTTGGACCACTTTTTTATTTTTCTTTCTTACACAAGCATAGAACATCGCAGGATGCAAAGAGAAACGGAAAAAAGACAAGCATTATACGTAGATTGTATGGTGTATTAATAGTATTGAAAAAATGTGTGATAAGAGTAATATCTTGAAAAGACTAAACTAATGACTTAAGTCCATTCCAGGCAACAATTGTTTTCCAACTTCGCATGGAACAGAGCTGTAGCTTGTGCCCAGCTACCAAAATCTCTGTTGTAATATCAGGAATTCTCGAAGTCCATAGTCTACTTATAATCGAACACATCGTTGTTCGAATAATTGCGATCAACGCCCGATTTCGAATCCCGTCCCGATCAGGCTGCAAGAACCCAGAGCCGTTCCCCGTAAATCGGAGAGCGCACGTTCCTTGATTGCTCAAATTATTCTCACGAGAAAACGTACGGCCGTCCGTGAAGTGGCCGTTAACGAAGGACAACCGGGCCTCGAGTCGAATTAACGAAGCGGAGGGTGGCGAGGATTCCGGCTGAAGTGACCCGTCTGATTTGTTTTTTTTTTTTGCGCAGGCACGCTGGGGAACGCGGGCAAAGCACCGGACAAGGGGTTGGCCACAAAATTACGACCCCTGGTCAAGGCTCTACGCGACACGGACAAGCTCGTGCAAGAGGCCGCGAGCAACCTGGACGCGATGGAATGGAACGCCGGGAAGCTTTGTCGTGGGGGCGGTGATACCCCAACACCTACTAACGGGCCGCCTTCCACCCCTGTGCTACCCCCGCAACCGGATCCGCTTGATCAGCTGATCGCGTGCGCTCGAGCACTCACGGAAGACGTTCGTCAGGTCGCCAGTTTCATTCAGGTGAGCATCTAGAGTCTAGAGGCTGGAATCGAGCGTAAGAAATCGAGTTAAGCAGAGAAAACCGGACCTAATTGTTACATTCTTCTGTTTTTATTTCTTCTTTGTATTCCATATTTGATACTATTAATGATTCCCACTTAACACGTTGACTGCCAACTACGGCAAAATCTATTGCAACTAATAACTCGGCTTCTAATGATCCAAATGTGATAAAACCTTAACACAATATCAATCAAGGATGTATTTCTCCACGTGCAAATTTTCTGTTGCTATTTTTTTTTTTTGTATTTTCAAAACGTTCAGTTATTTTTTGGACTGTTGTCTTGACGTTGACTGTGGATATATCTGGATAATTATAAAATTACCTAATAATACTTACCCAGAATATGGTATAACGAAATTGGTATTGAAAGAAACGTGACTTGTGGTTAACAGGGGAATTCGACGTTGCTTTTCAAACGGTCGTCGATCATCTCGACCGGCAGCAGTAACAACAGCGGCGCCGGAGAGGATTACGATTACGTAAATCTCGACTCGAGGGAAGTGGTCGCGAAGCAACGCGAAGAGCTAAGGGCGACGCTGCCGCAGGAACTCCGTAGTAATTACGATCTCCTTGTATCCGAGGCGGACAATGCGGCGATTCAAATGCCACCCACAACTCCGACACCCATGGATCCTGACGACAAACAATTGCTGGCTTTCTACGTCGCCCAGGTGATCACGCATGGCAACCACCTGACTCACGCCATTGACGCTTTCATGCAAACGGTCGCGCACAATCAACCGCCTAAGGCAAGTATGACGCGTACATCTCAGTTATGATTGCTTGTCATTTTATTTCCTTAGTACCATTGGCTCTAGAATCATAGGCATTCAATAATCGATTTATGCTATAAATCCATACAATTTTCAGTCTATATACATACGTTTTTTTAATGGATTATATCAGAAATTTTCATACTCAATGTTTCTTTTTAACAAGGTGTCTCTTAGATCAGGCGTCATACAAATTTGATTATTCTCGTGCATAGTTCATTGAAAGACATAATACTTTCTTTACATGTTTTTCCCAATAATTCTTTTTATCTGAACCATAAGTCACCAAGCTACCTATGACGCATCTATTAAATATAATGTTTAAATAATTCTTGCTGTACATAAATAACACATACCCTATGCTGCAAGTATTAGTGAAACGAAGAGTAAATTTCTTTATTTGACAACTCTACGCGCAAATACTGCACTGTAGGAGAGAAAACAAATAAAATTTGTCCTATTCTCCTTCAACGAAAGTAATAGAACAAATTTTTATTTGTCGCAACAGGTATTCCTGGCACATGGAAAGTTCGTGGTGTTGAGCGCTCACCGGTTGGTGCACATCGGCGACACGGTTCACAGGAACGTGATTAGAAACGACGTGAAAACACGCGTGTTACAGTGCGCAAACGCGCTGAACGAGGCACTTGAACAGACTGTGTCGAAAACGAAACAGGCAGCGCAGTTCTTCCCCAGCGTGTCCGCGGTTCAAGAGATGGTTGACAGCGTCGTAGACGTTTCTCACTTGGCTAAAGACCTAAAGGTCGCGATGATTCAGGCAGCGCAACAGCCTTGAACACCCAAAGATCAGATCGTAATCTTCGACACGAAGGAAGCTGGCGACATGCGAATTCAGCAGGCTTCGCCATTCCTATCCTACTAAAAGACTTTCTTTACGTGCAAGTTCCTTGGATCGGCTTGACGGTCAAACGGTTTCCACCTGAAGAAAACTTGAATCGTCGTAAGGGGAGCAAAAATAGAAAACGTCGGCAGCTGTCGCAATCGTTGGCCATCAGGCTTTAGAAGTTAAGGTCACTGATTGTAAACGGGATGATGAAGAATTAGCAAGGTGATTCGTAAGAAAAAAAAAAAGAGATATAATCTGTAGACCAGAGTCTCCATAAGGACCTAGTTGTAGACAGGAGATTCATTTTTGTCTCCTATGGTAGTGGAATCTACTTACGAATATTCGAGTCAAATAGAGCCCAGAGCGTCAAACCTCATTTAATCGGCGGGAATATATGAACTTGGACCATGAATGGAAGAACAACGCCGACTGAAGCGATTCGTTCAACTAAAATAAGCTCCTTTCATCGCAATAAATAGTTCTCGAGGCCTATCGTTACTTAGAACTACGCAACTGCCAAAGCACAGGAATCTAGAATTTAAGGAAACCTCTTTCGGGACAAGCGTCTTTGTAATTGTACACACTACTTCAATAATTCCGTGCCGTTCTTGGTTGGACACCATATGGTCCGCACGGCATGAATAATTGGAGCGTTGTATACTCGAGAATATAGACAATGTATCCTTTTATAGGAAAACACATGTAACCGTGTCATTCGTTAGCTAAAGGTGTGGAATACATTAACAACGTAAGAGACATCATAGCAAGTGTAGAACATATTTGAAATGCCTCTTGAATCGTCGAGATTAATTTCAAATATAATGCGCCGTTGTCATTGCCAGCGTATTAGTTATTATCGTAGATGTGTACCACGTCGATAAACATTTACAGAACATAGGCAGCTCTGTATTTGTGCCTCTTATTCGGTAACAATTTCATTTATAAGCATGGTAATATAATATTACGGCCAAATAAGAAAACCGGTCGACGAATTGCGTTTAACTTAAAAACTGAAGGGGAAATAGTTTTCCAAAATATCGGTAATCTAACAAATCACTAAAATTTTGCAATTCGACGTTTATACGTTCGTATTTACAGAAGAAGGTCAACTATACGCAGTGTTTCAATGATTCTTATTGGAGACGTCATAAGTTATTTACAAACGACTAGAATTAATTGGCGTACATACCATGTACAACGCAAATGTGTCTTTGCGGAGGCCCATTTTAAACGAATTTTTATACGATTTTATTGCCGGAACGCGACTTTTTCGTGCCGGTCCTTTTACGGATCTTCCGAAACATTCAATCAATTATAAACGCACACCGGAGACTGTGAAACGAAAAACATTGAATTTGTAGGCTATTTACAACCATTCCCATGTTCATTCGACCACACCCCGCGCTCTCCTTACAAGGGCAACGAAAAACAATAATTTAACACGAATACGATTTTTTGTCGACCATAATACTTGTCGAATGTAAAAGTTTCGCAGCGATAAAGTCATTGTCTTAAGAGATTAGTTTCATTACCGGAATTAGACTCGAAACTTGCACAACCGGCAGAACTTAAATTATCATTATAAATACACACGCGTCGCATTTCACGGAGATCCAGTGAAACCCTTTTTGTTTCACTGTGCTTCCTAATTTGTATAGGTAATTACTTTCTTCGTACGCTGCCATTAAAATTTTTAGTGGTAATCAACAACCGTACATTTTTAACGCAGCTTTAAGATTTTTTGAAGTATTTACTTTTTTGCCTTACGAGACACAACAGTTTGTCTCCTTCTTTCACGGGGAGAATCCAAGATCGCTGAAATGTAAATACCAAAAATATCGAAAATATGTATGTACTTTCAGACGATCGTCCGTATTTAGAATATTTACCACGATAGCTTATATGTAGTTTATTTTTTAGAGAGTATATTAATCGAGCATATCGCGTGAACACGAACCTCGTTTACGAGAACTTGTATTATAATTTATTGGCGAAGTGTTTTTGTAAGATAACAGGCATTCAAGGCAGTTAGAGTTACTGTATATTTAGAATTTATACATAGTCGATACTAAATAGGTGCTTGTCATTCTCGTTGAATCGTATTCCGATAATCGTGACGTAATATTAAGCGGACAATTTTTCTTTGATATCGAAACATATGACATAAATATGCATTGTCGATCGAACGTGGAAGTAATCTTATCGTTTCGTAACATTCTGTTTTATTCAACCTTTATACATTGTACGCGACGATATTCTTTCGTAGCAGAATATTTTGCAATCGATATTCTTCCGGTTGGATAGAACTTGAATTAATTGGTTGAATATTATTGCATATAATCAAGTTACATGGTAATTGTTGCATAAAAATTTTATGGAACAAACCAATCAGGGAATTCGACGATTAGCCAACGTTTCACTTTAGATTAACGTGTCCTTTGAACTGAATCGATTATGTTACTTTAAGGGCGTTTAATGTGTACATAAGTATATTTGTATACATAAATACAATAATGTATCAACGCAGAAGGTAAAAGAGAAGCATTGAAAAATTGTGCAATATCAAATCGTAACTTTTAAGCATTGAATTATACTCAAGTGCGAAAAGTATCTACAAATAGAGCAAACGAATCAGATTTGTTTTACACAACGTCGATGCAATTTTGAGAAGGTAAATGGATACTAAAGTTTTCTGTTCAGAAAGTTTGTATCATCTTGCACTTAATTTGCTTGGTGAAATCTGGGTGATAATTTTGTATACTAGCGCGTTATTTGTATATTATACTTTCAATGGTTCAATAAAGATTAATTGAATATACAGACAGAAAGTATAATAATTACACTTTTCCGTCAGTTTATCGTTTTATTAAGATTTACGGGTTTTAAATAACATGGTACATCAATTAATTACACGCAATGATACATTTATTAGAAACTCTCAACTCCATTTGCATGAAAGTACATACAATAGTTTAGACGTCTCTCTCCTAATCCCTGCATAAGTATTAACAAGTACACCCTTTCACAGTGGCATATAAAACATTTCCCATGTCTCAGGTAAGGCTTGAATAGACACAAATACTTCGTTGAGTACTTCTTCACATAATGTACAGGTCAAACATTCAAGCCATTATGCTTGACAAACAGTGTTCTTCAAATATTTCTAATGCATAATTGTGTATGAACAATATGCATTAGTGACACAGATTTAGATTCAAGTAGTACGGAACTAATGATGCAAAAAATTAATTAAAACCTAGTTGTAGGTAAATATCCAAAGCCAACTATGAACGATCGCAGCATCTGCCAGTATGTGTGTGCGTATTACCATCTTTGTTCATTTTCTCTTTTGCAGTACTTTTTTCTATGTGAAAACTGCTGAGATCACGTTTCATGGCATAAGCATCCTCTCCATCTGCATAATATTTTGGTTCCACTTCTGACACCTCAAATTGTAAACTGCTTGTATATAAATTTAAGGCTGCCCGATTACTTCTGCGTACATGTAGTGACACATATTTTGCTCCAAAACACTCTACCATTGCTCTGGAAGCCTGGTTCATAAGTTTCTGTGCAATACCAAGCCTTCTGTGAGATCGTTTCACTGCCAAACTGGTAATATGTCCATGAGGATTGTCCTCGCAATCCTCTTCCATCTTAGCAAGGACATAACCCACTATCCTGCCTTTTTCATCCTCAGCCACATAACTTAGTTGTGGCCAAGAAAGAGCGTGATATAAATAATACTTCATCTGATAATTCTCGGGCAAACATTGTAAATTACAATGCTGCACATTTAACAAATCATCCGTATTTGCACAGCGTATATTTATAGACATACTTGTAAATTAAAATATTTCACACACAACTAAAATACTCCTTTGGTTAGATCTTCTTTAGGGCGTGCACTTAAGCCTTGCCTAATTATCTCATCAATTTTTAAGTCAAGCTTCAATCTCTGCGAATTTTCTTTATACGTGATCTACCATTCTTTAAATCATTGACAGATGACGATTCACTCATTCCACCCAGTAATTCCCGGACAAAGCGGAATCGTGAAAGGAAAAACTTCCAAACTAAATACCAACCTGTGAAAAAAAACATATAAACACATCTGTGAAGATTATTTAATAATATGTACAATGTATCAATATATCAAAAATACAGGGTGTCCCATGTTACCGAAGGAAAAGTATTTTATGTATCAATAGCTTCTGCATAGCAGTAATACAGACACATTCAAAGAAGTCATTAGCCTAGGCATTACAGTTGTTCAAGAAAGTACTATGTGCACTGAAACACTCTAGAATTAACTGTAATAATTGGATGGTGATACCATTAAAATCAGATTTTTTACAAAGCAATAGTAATAAAATTAGTCGATAAAATATGCAAAACTGATTTTCAATGTAAATTAAAAGAATAACAATACATTGAAGTTGATTATTTAAAAACGCTGGTACAATCAATACCACAAATATATATTATTAAACAGAAAGGGTTGCCCACCAAATATTAACTTTACCAGAGTATATAATATAACTTTTATAAAATGTACCAATAATTTTGTGATGCGAAAACATGTAATGTAATATTATAACTCGTTTTTTAAGATTAAAAAGTCCTTTATCTTATTATTTCATACATTTTTATCACATTCGTGAATGTGACAATAATTTGGTAACTCACTTATTGTATATCTGGAACACCCTGTACATTTGAAGAAATTTATTGCAATACTATTCATAATATGAAGTCAAAATAAACTAGATAATATTACAAATACTAAAACAACGCAATTAAAGAAAGATTCTCGATTATAATTCACATAAATACAGAACAAGACAGAAAAGGTCTTAATGTTTCCAACCGAAAATATTTAGTATCGGGACAGCGCATACACGTGACGATAGAGGTTAAGTATGTGTGTGTCAAAACTCTTCAACTATACCTTCGAATACGAAACTATATGACTACTCGACAGGTCGGGTAACAATGTTTCGAAACACTCCGCGTACCGCGCAGCAATAACAGAACGTTACTATCTGTCGTTCTTACCCAGCAGCACCAGGCCAAATACTATGAGTAGACTCGATATCACGGAGAAGGCTGCTAGGACGATTTCCTGCATTATTAAATCGTACCTCAACTACGAGTATACTAACAAATTTTCTAGAATAACGCACACAGGGACTGTGTCATAACCTCTTTGTTTCTTGCTTTCCTGGCAAGAGAAATAAATTCACCAAATATAAGAACACTAACGACGAATTTAGCACATCAGGTAGCGAAGTCGCCTATGGTTTTCATTCACCTATGACACGCCATTTTGAATCATGACGAGTTGATGTGCATACAGGTTATAAATTTTTCCCCTTCCAATCAAGAAAACTAGCTTTTCGCTATAATTTAGCGAAACGTATAATCTCTCAAGGCAGTGTCACGTAACTTACCAAAGTCCAACAATTTGTTTCATACACTGATTACCATAGCTTGCATAAAAAACTTGAAAATAATCAAAACAGACTAAGGACTTTTGAATAGCAATGACAAAGCCTACAGGAAGTAATCACAACTTGCAATGCGTGTGCGCAATTCTCATCATTTCCGGAAAGACCCCCTGGAGCGGCTTTATTCGAACTTTTCACAATTAAGAAAAATTCATAATTGCTTTAACTAGAAAGAAGTTCAAAAATTCATAAAGTCTTAACTATACCTTTATACAACTATACCTTATACTACCATTATACATTTTATAAAAATATAACGTTGGATGAAAATACTGGTATATCAATATGTATTATCACTACTTCTATCTACAGAGTATATAGAAATTTCCAGTAAATGTAATGCATAGTATTTTATTATTAATGTAATTATACAATAATATTATTATTAATAATATTAATTATAAGTAATGGAAGATATATTTATATTTTATAAATGTTTAACTAAACATAGTTTATTAAAATAGGGTCAAACATATATTCAATCTTCTTCGTTCAATTGTTCTAAATGATCCAATTTAAGTTGTTTCAAACGATTTATTTTTTGTACAGGCTTGTCCTTTTTACTTTTCTTCTTCTGTTTCTGTCCAACAACATACTCTGGCATAATAATTTTGCTACTTCTAAATATTGGTTTGTCATCATGGTCAACAATGATTGGCTCATTCTGTGTTTTCTGAATATTACTTTCTGGTTTCTTGAACTCAATTTCTGAATTTGTTTTAACTTTTTTAGATTTGAATATTATCTTAGTTTGATCGTGTTCAGTTGATGTAAGATCATTGACATCCATTTTCTCTGCAGCCTCTATTTGATATATTGATCTGCGTGCTCTTAGCTCTTTTAAAAATGATAATGCAGCTCTTGTATTGCTTTGTTCTGTCATATCATCATTAGATACATCACCCAAACTATATTTCATCCATTTATGAGGATTCTTATGATAATCTGGTATATTTCTATTAGCTGCACGTGGTGCAGGACCTTCAGGTCGTTTGAAAATACTTTCTTTACCACGAAACCTTCTTGTTTCATGTGTTCGCTTCTGACCTGATCTCACAATTTGAGAATCATTTCTTTCATCAATAATCATATCTTCATCCATAATTTCAAGGACTGTTTTATCCTTATTGCACTTCTGTTCTGCATCTGACAATTTATCAAACAAAAGCTTTTGTCTATTTGCAAATGCGGTGTCACCACCATGCAGAACAAAATCCCCTGAGGTATGCATATTTGTGTATTATATGTTAAAAACCTTTTTCATTACCGTTTCAATATAAATTCTACACGTCTTTCTAAGATAGAAACGTTAAAGCATAAATAACATTCTTCAAACTGGCACCACATACAAGTTCAATAGGACGTTATAATAGGTTAGAACATTCGATATAAAATTCTTAAACAATTTTTAGACATTCAGGAGATTTCAAAATTACGTGCTACCATTGTTCAAGTTTTCAATACTCAAAACTTCAAGAAACACAACAGTTCCATTGACGTTAATCTACGTTTCATGTACGTCGCCATTTTATCTTGAACATCGAGACAAAACTAGGGTTGAATCGAAACCACCAACGTATCGATACTTTTACTCGTAACTACTTTTGTATGAAGGTATCGATGCTTACTCGGTATCCAAACAAAAGTATCGATACCTACTTGTATCAAATTATATTTTCCTCACCTTGATACCCAACACAAAAGTTGTTTCTGCGTTGAGAGAGAATAAAATATAATACGATACTTTATATATTTATTATAAAATATAAAACACATAAACATAAACGTATGTACGACTATAACGATATACGTAATATAAGATATACATGATAAATAAATATGTACATATGTACATCTCACAAACACGGGGTCTCTTGTGCAAGCTCCGGGGGTTCTATGACCCCACTTTCTCACACACACACGGGGTCTCTTGTGTATGCTCCAGCCACACATCTATTATATATGATTATATGTATATGCCTATGCAGTTTTATGATACTCGCACGTGCTGTGGTTTACATGTGTCATAACCCCGGAATTGGCAAACATTTGTATATCATTATACATTACTTAGATTTGGTCAAATTGATTTAATTGGTTTTTATAATTTTCGAATAAACATTACTAACTTAAACCGAACCTATTATTTAATTTGTTCGTGTTTTATACTCATAAGTAAAACCTGCTCAAAATATTGTTTTTCATGTAAAGAAAAGGTGCTGTACTTTTTTTAAATCATCGAATTATCCGTAAGTAATATATGCTTAGATTTTCTCTAAATCGATTGTTTATTCGAAAAATGAGTATTTTTACTCAATATTTAAATCCTTTGACTGGTACAACTACTTGGGAGGAAAAAGATCAAAATTATGATTACCATCAAGAAATCGCTAGATCAGCATTCGCTGATATGTTACACGATCGTGAAAGAGTTAGTGTTATGTTCTATTCTTTAATATGTTAATATTATCAGACAGGAATAATTCTGTTGTAATTATAGAATCAGAAATATTATGTTGCCCTTAAACGTGCAATTGAAAAGAAACATCAGATGGGAGAAGAAGCTAATGTACTTGATATAGGAACTGGTACTGGTTTGTTATCGATGATGGCTGCTAAATGTGGAGCAGATACTATAACAGCATGTGAGGTGATTAATTTCTTCAGGAACTTTATTATGATTATATTTATAAATTTGTAATTTACATATTTACAAGTTGGAAATTTTAAGACTATTCTTTAGGCTTTTACACCAATGGCTAAATGTGCCATAAAAATAATACAAGAAAATGGTTTCGAGGATAAGATCAAATTGATACACAAACGATCTACGAAAATGACAGTGGGAAAGGATGGTGATATGGCCAAGAAAGCAAATATTTTAGTTACTGAAGTATTTGACACTGAACTTATTGGAGAGGGAGCTCTGTCTACATTTCGTCACGCTCATGAACATCTACTTGAAGTATACATAATGCATTTTTAAGTTCGCATACATTCTTACATAATTACAATGTAAGATTTATTTTCTCTTCTTTTGATAGGAGAATAGTATAGTTGTACCACATAGTGCTACAATTTGGGTACAAGTTGTTGAGAGTTCTGCTGTTCATGCATGGAACACAGTACAACCAATTGAACAGAAGAACGGATGCTTGTTAGACATACCAAATTGTGTAAAGTCTTGTTTTGGAGCAGCTGCAGTGCATGATATACAATTAACTCAATTTCCTCATGATGCATTTAAACCTTTAATATCACCACAGCCTATATTTAGGTGAATGCATATTATGATATAAAACAATTCATGGATAATATGTAGAATATTTCATAAAGAAAAGATTATGAACTTTTGGGGTACACAATACTTAAGAAAGTGAGGAATGAAGTTTTGACAAATAAATCGTTGGTGGAACTATATAGTGATTTTCTTGAGACTGATTCAATCTTGTTAGTACTAAAAAACTATTAATTTAAATTCATTTCTAAACTATTAATATCAGATAGCTGAAAGTATTGCTGAATAATTCAGAGTAAAGTCAAGAATTTAATATCCTGTAATTTTTCATAAAAAATTGATACATTTATTTCATCAAATAAGCTTCTTAAACTCAATATTTACCAAAGCAAATATGGCTTTTGTATGTTATTTTGCAACATCATTTTGAAGTATCATGTAATATTTATTGTATCAAAAACTTGCAAATTATTAATTTACTAATATATCTTAATGGTTTATATTAATGTATTTCTATGACACACTCACAACAGACTTACAGTGATGGTTTCTATCTTCATTGTTGCTTGTATATTACTAAATTTAAGAAGTACATTTATTTAGACTTGTGTTTATTTTGATGTGCAATATACACCTAAAAAGTTTGCAACTCTTTATCTGAAACACTTAAAAATAAATCTTTTAGGTTTGATTTGTCTGGCAAAACACCTTTGTTATATGATGAAAAAGTGTGTTTACATGTACAGCCGACGTCAAGTGGTACAGCACATGCTATTTTTATGTGGTGGGATTTAATTATGGACATAGACAATCAGGTAATAGTTACACATTGAAGAATACTTTAACTTTGTTGCTAAATAATTTTCATATAGGTTCTGTTAAGTTGTGCACCAGTTTGGGAACATCCAGACACAAAGAAGTTACAAGATAAGGGCTTAACTCTTACAGAGATAGCAGACTTGATACCATGGAGGGATCATTGGATGCAAGCTATTTATTATTTGCCTGTAGAAACTTCAGTTACCACTGACATTGAAATTAATTTAATTGGGTATCATGATGAGTACTCTCTATGGTTCCAATTGATAAGTGAACCAATGTACGTTGATTTAAACGTTTTACTGTAAAACCATGCTTTAGAGCACATGCTGTAATTGTTTACTTACAGAAACGAAGTACCAGATTGCGAAAGGCCTGTTTGTAGTTGTGGCGTTCATGTAGCTTACTGTAGAACACGCATAGGACAATTAAATGACCAAAAACGAAATGAGAAGTATATTAAGGCACTAAAGAAGAAGATTACCTCAGACACAGTTTGCTTATGTTTGTCTGATGGTTGTTTATTGGGCCTTGCGGCTATTAAATTAGGTGCAAAGAAAGTATTTATTTTAGAAACAAATTTTCTGTCTAGAAAAACTATAGAAACCTTTATTAAATCAAATGAACTCTCAGAAAGGATACAAATCATTGAATCTGATGATGATTTGCCTCCAGAAAGTACAATTAATTTAATTTTCGGTGAACCGTATTTTGTTACTTCAATCGTTCCATGGGAAAATCTTTACTTTTGGTATCTCAGTTCCAAATATTCATCTAAAGTTGAGAGGATACCGATTGCAGCGACAATAATGGGTGTTGTAGTTGAATTTAAAGATTTGCATAAGATACGAGCATCGCTTGGTGTCTGCGAAGGTTTCGATTTATCGATTTTTGATAAACTCGTTCAGGTGAGTTGACATATTGATAGTATAAGAAATAAAAAGTTATTTTTAAAATTATTATTTAGGCATCAAGCGAGAGAAGTGATAGTCCAGTAGAGGCTCAACCATTATGGGAGTATACAACCAAAGCATTGAGTTTACCTTTTATCATTCAAGAATTTGATTTAACGAAAAATATTAATGAATGCAAAACTACAAACGTTTCGGATACTGTTCCTATTATAGAGTAAGATTCATTTTATTCTTTTGTTTTGCTAAAAGTATCTATTACAACAACGGTGTGCTATCTGTTTATTTAGGAAAGGATCGTGTAACGGTGTGGTTTTATGGGTTGATTGGCATTTAGATTCGGAGGTTACCGTATCATCAGGATCTAAAACAGAAACGCAGCCCGGCAAGCGAATATCGTGGGATCCATTTACAAGACAAGGTGTACATTTATTCAGAGACATAATGAATGTTACACAGCAAAGCATTCTGCAATGGTCATTCAATTTTGTACCACAGCATGGAAACATGAAATTTGATTTTCACATATTGTCAAAAGCTCTGAAATAACTTGACGCAATGTTTATAAAAATATGTGTTCTTAAATTAAAACTTTACTCGTTTATCTAATTTTATTCTAATTCATTCCTTTAAGAAACGAAATTTCGTTCCTTTATACATGTTTATCAAAAATTAAACGTTTGTTATAGAATAAATCTCTTTAAATAACTATAACTAGTGTTTGACCTATCACTTTAAGCTAACAAATGGAAAATGTTATGTAGATTCCTCAGGTAACATGCGTAATTGTTTCGCTAGCCTCCGTCCTATAAGTTTAGGATAACTCTTTTGTTTAATAAGAAATTCTTTACTTTGATGAGTGACAGCACCATTTTCTAACTGAAACCTGAAACTTTTTTGATTATTACTTTTATAAAAATTACATTTACGTATCATGAAAATAGTAGCTTGCCTGCACAAATAATGTAGAGGTCCAAGCATTTTATTCTTCAATTCTGGATCACCTTCCAAGATAGAAAGTGCAAAAGCACCTGTTTCAAGTGTAGATAAACATCCTTCGGTTGGTTGTGTTCTAATGACATATTCGCTTGTTGGAACTCCAATTAGTTTACATGCTCGTAAAAGACAAAGTGCCGGACTTGAATGATATATTGCCTATGCCAATGTACAGGATGATTGGTAAATGTCCAAAAATACATGGACATACTTTATAATTTAAAGTTGACAAGTTCTAATAAACACTTGCATTAATTTATTTTAATGTGATTGCATTTCCAAAACAAGGGTTTTATGGAATATGTTTATTAGGATTTTTTAGTTAGTTTCAAAATGTAGGATGTAAGTAATAAATTTTCTGTTAATAAAATTTGTAATATGTTTTGTGTTAAATTATCAAAGTAATATTATTACCATCCCTAGTAGTAATATGATATGATTCATTGAAACATATTACACTACCTTTGCCTGTGGCCAAGTTCCATCTAACAAAACAAGATTATAAGGCTTTTGTCCATCCATACCAACTGGAGTTAATTTATCAAGTGCTATGGCATCAGGAGATGGATATATTAATATAGTATTTTTATCATTTAAAATTTCTGTTAAACCTTCATGTTTGAGTAATGGAAATTTTTTTCCTCTAAAGTAAAACGTATAGTAAAATCAATTTTGTTCTTCATATAACTATTTTTGTATTAGTTACCTGTAAGTTATACACTTCCCAGGTTCCAGACCTAGAGCCAGCATAGGTGCAGTGCGTAAACAACGTTTTACTTCAGCAGGATGTTGTAAAATTATTATTCTAGACGCAGGAGACACAGGGTGTTTTGGTAATCCTGGACACCAACATACTGGTACTGGTCTCCTGCAAAATTATGATAATACTTTACTTAAGACTAATTCTAACAAGCATATAAATACAAGCTTTTAAATTCTTACACTGTTTATACAATTATTTTTATTTGAACTTTCAATATATAAGATATATAGATTATATTAAAATATTGGAAAATAACCTAATATTACTTATACACTTACTTGCATTGTGAGCATTTGTCTCTTGCTTCCGGAGGATCGGCAAATATTTCTGATAATTCCTGCCATACAGTTTCTTCGTTCGTCATAATAGTAACGTATAAAAATAAAGAAGATATTGAGCGTTGGTGGTTGATAGAGGTTCACGCATAATAAATAGTATGAGATAGTCTCAAAATTGTAATAATCATACATGTATTACACATGTAGTACATATGTAAATTGTATACTTTTGTAGGATTTTTTCAATAAAAAAACAATCAAATCATAGATATGCGTTATTCATTAATCCCGGCACTACCTCCACTCCTATTCCTAATATCAATTAACCAAAAAAGTAATAAAAAATTATTTTCCGGTGTAATTAAGCGCTGAAAATGATCGTCGTCGGTCTCAAATTATTCCTGACGACTTAATGCATAAACCCAACACTGCAGAACACCAGAATTACATAGTACAATTATTTATGCCACTATTAACGCTGACCCCTTATGGAGTGGCAACCCTAACAACAAAAGGTTTGGATCGCATTTACACGGCTGAACGGGCATCATTTTTCTTCATCACGCATTACATTCGAAGTTAAAAGAACTTAGATTAGTACTCTCTAGCAGCTCGGAACGAGTAATTACACGAACATTGTTAAAATCACATTTATTTGCAACGGTTGACACTGTATCTGGTCATGCGTACCCTGCTTGGTTCACTTTAGACAGCTGTTACACCGTTATACGGATAGCTTCCGTCTTGACCAAGCATTCGATTTATAGCTTAAAGAACGTAGATTAATCCCCTCTCATTGACAATAACAATAAACGACCAGAACACTGTTAAAATCGCATTTAATCGTGCAATACCACTATTTTTTTGACCAGTGGCGCCACCCGTGGCGAATTGCTCAAACTGCTAGCCAAATCATACCGACAGGTGAGTGAGAATTCCTAGTGATGCAAAAATTCGTATATCTCACTAATTAAGCGCTTAAAATGAACGTCATTAGTCTCAAATTGTCCCTCAGGACTTAATGCATGGACACAATAGTGCAGAACTCCTGAATTAGTGAAATTAATTATGCCTGTATTACCGTAGCCCCTTATGTGGCGGCAACCCTCCTTTCAAAGATTTCGATTACATTTACACTGCTGAACGGGCATCAGTTTTCCTCGTCACGCATTAAATTCGAAGTTTGAACAACGTAGATTACTTCTTTCTAGCGACTGGAAACCAGTAATTACAAGAACATTGTTAAAATCACATTTATTTGTAACGGTTCACACTGTATCCCATCATGCGTACCATGTTTAGTTCAGTTTGAACAACTCTTACAACGTTATACTAACAGCTTTCGTCTTGATCAAGCATTCGATTTGAAGCTTAAAAAACGTAGATTAATCCCCGCATATTGGTAATATCAATAAACGACCAGAACACTGTTAAAATCGGATTTAATCGCGGAGTACCACTATTTTTCGACCGGTGGCGCCATCCGTGGCGAATCGCTGAAACTGCTAGCCAATTATATGGCTAGCAGTTTCATGAATTCGCCACGGATGGCGCCACCGGTCAAAAAAATTGTGGTACTCCGCGATTAAATGCGATTTGAACAGTGTTCTGGTCGTTTATTGCTATTATCAATAACAGTGGATTAATCTACGTTCTTTAAGCATCAAATCGAATGCTTGATCAAGACGTAACTTGTCCATAGAACGTTGGAAGAGCTATTTAAAGTGAACTAACCGGGGTACGCATAACGAGATACAATGCCAACCGTTGCAAATAAATGTGATATTAACAATGTTCTTGTAATTACTGGTTTCCAGCCGCTAGAAAGAACTAATCTACGTTGTTCATACTTCGAATATAATGCGTGACGAAGGAAAATGTTGCCTGTTTAGTGGTATATGTAATTGCAAGAGATTATGATCGGATTTACACCGCTAAACAAGCATCAGTTTTCCTCGTCATGGATTTCATGCGAAGCTTAAAGAACGTAGATTAGTTCTTTCTAGCGGCTGGAAACCAGTAATTACAAGAACATTGTTAATATCACATTTATTTGCAACGGTTGACACTGTATCTCGTCATGCGTAACCCGGTTAGTTCACTTTGAACAGTTCGTATACCGTTATACAGACAGCTTTCGTTTAGCGGAAGCACTCAATTTGTAGCTGAAAGTACGTAGATTAATCCACTGTTATTGATAATAGCAATAAACGACCAGAACACTGTTCAAATCGCATTTAATCGCGGAGTACCACAATTTTTTTGACCGGTGGCGCCATCCGTGGCGAATTCATGAAACTGCTAGCCATATAATTGGCTAGCAGTTTCAGCGATTCGCCACGGATGGCGCCACCGGTCGAAAAATAGTGGTACTCCGCGATTAAATCCGATTTTAACAGTGTTCTGGTCGTTTATTGATATTACCAATATGCGGGGATTAATCTACGTTTTTTAAGCTTCAAATCGAATGCTTGATCAAGACGAAAGCTGTTAGTATAACGTTGTAAGAGTTGTTCAAACTGAACTAAACATGGTACGCATGATGGGATACAGTGTGAACCGTTACAAATAAATGTGATTTTAACAATGTTCTTGTAATTACTG